AAAAAGTGATATTTTCGACTTCTTGTTGAAAACCGCAAGTCCAATTGCTTTGATATTACATATATAAGTACTACATGTCGACCTCTCTCAGATTTGTTCATTTTGTAATGATATCTTCAATTCTCTAATTTTGGTGAATATTTTTGTAATTTTTGGTAAAAAGTGATATTTTCGACTTCTTGTTGAAAACCACAAGTCCAATTGCTTTGATATTACATATATAGGTACTACATGTGACCCTCTCTCAGATTTGTTCATTTTGTAATGATATCTTTAATTCTCTAATTTTGGTGAATATTTTTGTAAGTTTTGGTAAAAAGTGATATTTTTGACTTCTTGTTGAAAACCGCAAGTCCAATTGCTTTGATATTACATATATAGGTACTACATGTGACCCTCTCTCAGATTTGTTCATTTTGTAATGATATCTTTAATTCTCTAATTTTGATGAATATTTTTGTAATTTTTGGTAAAAAGTGATATTTTCGACTTCTTGTTGAAAACCGCAAGTCCGATTGCTTTGATATATTATACATATAGGTACTACATGTGGACCTCTCTCAGATTTGTTCATTTTCTAATGATATCTTCTGTTCTTTAATTGCCATGTGCATTGCTAACAGCGGAGCTATCTCAGCCGACAGGCTGCTTGTCTATTTACTGTTTTGTAACCTTTTATTCCTTTTTAAACTTTTGTAACCATTCCCTCCGGGGAATGTGTAAGTGTTAATAAAAAATTACTACAAAAATTAATTACTACATGCAATTCACTGTAATGGTATTTTTTCTTAATGATTATATTGTAGTAAGATCATCTAATGATGCTAAGTTTATGCAAATTTAATTTTTGTCTTGATTTCTAATTACAGATGGCCATTTGATCAATACTAATTGCTCTTCTCTTCACACGAGGTGAGTCTAGATTTTATACCACTTACGCGATCTCATAAATGCAAAGATTCATTAATCAATAAATCTGACTTGTTTTTCTTTATTTTTTTGTAGGCAGGCCTTGTGTTGTAAAATGTCTGCTATGTATGACATGTTTTTAGAATCACATAAAAGGTAGGTTTATTAATACAACATAGAATCTAATGTCAACAGAAATGTTCAAACTTTGATAAAAGGTGGTTTTGCTAATACAACATTCAATCTATTGTCGACAGAAATGTTCAAACTTTGATAAAAGGTGGTTTTGCTAATACAACATTCAATCTATTGTTAACAGAAATGTTCAAACTTTGATAAAAGGTGGTTTTGCTAATACAACATTCAATCTATTGTCGACAGAAATGTTCAAACTTTGATAAAAGGTGGTTTTGCTAATACAACATTCAATCTATTGTTGACAGAAATGTTCAAACTTTGATAAAAGGTGGTTTTGCTAATACAACATTCAATCTATTGTCGACAGAAATGTTCAAACTTTGATAAAAGGTGGTTTTGCTAATACAACATTCAATCTATTGTCGACAGAAATGTTCAAACTTTGATGTTAGATCTCAGACTACTATAGACAGACTAGTAATGCTGCTTTTCTATTGGTCAGATGTGTGCCACGTTTATTTTGTTGTTTAACTTTTTAGTCCAATAAACATTCAAACTGACACAACTATAACATAATAAATAATATGATGTCCTTTATTATTTCATTAATTAACGCTGAAATAATGCGAGATGTACAGAGGGAGTAGTATTAGTTGGGTCGTAGTTATATTTTTTTCTGGTTAAACAATCTCCACAAATGTGACAAAACATATGCAAGTTATTACTGTGTTTATTCTCCATAATTCCGTGATCATGAACCAAACAAGAATAGAGATAGCTAAAATTTATGCTTCATTAAAATATCAATTTCCTACTGAATATTCAATGACTTCAAGTGCTTCGTTACGTGATCATATTAAGTTTTCAAACGCATTGTCCAAAAACTATGAAGCGTTCACACAAAGGAACACTTGTCGATGCCAACACCACCATTTTACCTTTATAAGAAATTTTTCGCATATTCTGGGAAAATTCAAAATAATGAGAAATACTACTATAAATTGCTCATTATATATTCATAAATGTCATAGACGAAAGTAGGAGATATTAAAAATGCTCTAACCCACCCACAAATTGGTCGACTTGAACAGAAACAATGGCGATCGAAAAGTCAAACCACACAGATTTAATTTCTGGTTAGTTCGAATAATATGCGTTTGGCATTAGAATGACATTACCAAAACACACATAGCAGGTAAATGCGAGTTTGAGAATCTTCGGGTTTACATGTGTATACTACCAGCAAGGACTGCCGAGGCACGCAGCCCATCGACGTAATCCAAATTAACACCTACAACAATAGGTGTTGCTAGTCTGTCTATAGTAGTCTGAGGTTAGATTCACCAACTAAACTTACAAAAGTCACTCTGGGACAAAATTTCAATATTCCCTGATATATTCCCTAATACACACTCACACTATCAATGATAAATAAATTAATTGGTGACTTTTTAAGCTAAGATTCTTTCTCATAATAAATGGTGCTTCATTTCCTTTGTTGTGTCTGGTACACTGTCTCTATAGAGTTTATTGCATATCACTATTATGAGGTCAACACCTTCAAATGGAGAATCTGTCAGATGATCTGGAGAATTTTATAAACAACCAAAACTTATCAAAATGTAATTTGAAATGTTTTCTTTTGTTGTGTCCTTTATATGATATGAGGTGGTCTAATTTGTGAACTGTGAAGAAAAAAAATGGATGAAAACAAATATTTAATTAGACTGTGCTAATTGATTTGATGGTATTTTACACCACTAGAGGGCACAATTTAAATGGTCTCACTAGAGAGACAGCATCACTTCTGTCTGTACACTTCTACAACTACATTTGTATTTAATAATTTGCATTTATTCATTTATTTCAGATGGTTTTGTCATGTTGATGATGATAATTATTTAAATGTAGCTCAGTTAGTTAAACTTTTACAACAGTACAGACACACTGATGACGTTTATCTGGGAAAACCAAGTCTTTCACATCCTATAGAAGCAGTTGATAGGACAAATAACATGGTGAGTGTTGGCATGGTAACTATTGAGATGGAGAGTTATCAATAGCTTAAAACTTGACTTAGAGTGAAAGTATTGAAACTTGTGTTAAACTTGCCACAAGAGGGCGCTACACCATTCTTATAATTAACTTACCATTTCTCTATAGCGACGAGTGTCATTTTGGTTTGCTACTGGCGGTGCTGGTTTCTGTCTCAGTAGAGCAATGGCTCTGCATATGAGTCCATATGCAAGGTACATATTATTATATTATATTATATTGTTTACAATTTTCTCTATGCAAATCTTATCTCGAAGAACCACATTTTAACTGTAAACCTGTCCACATTTTTTGAAGAGAAATCCTCTGTTTTAATTAAGCAGTATCTGAACTGAATCTTTGTAAAGTGAACACCTGTCTAAACTAAACCTTCTTTAAACAAAACACCTGTCTAAACTAAACCTTCTTTAAACAAAACACCTGTCTAAACTAAACCCCCTCAAAACAAAACGTCTGTCTAAATTAAACCTTCTCAAAACGGAACACCTGTCTAAACTAAACCTTCTCTAAAAGGAACACCTGTCTGAACTGACCCACAACAATTCAGAAAAGTGCTCACCTTCAATGTTAGCTGAAATAACGCAACATTTTTGTATATGAATTGGTTATTCTATCTATTTCTTTCATCTTTAATCCAAAGTTTGCCATTACTTATAATGTATATGTACATGAATTGACCATTACTAAATAAAGTCAGTATTGATGATGAAAATCCTGTAATTTGAGATTATTTCTTTACAGTGGTGGTTCTTTCTCTTCAATGTGCAACAGAATTCGTCTTCCGGATGACGTAACTGTAGGATTCATAGTTGGTGAGTAGTAACACCTCTTTGTAAAACAACTGTTAAATTGGTGAACATGAGAATATATCTTGTTTACAGATTTATTTTGTTTGGTATGTGCATTTGTTAAAAAAGAACTATGGTTAGATAGAATCGCACATGTGAATGTTCTACTGTACTATTATTGTTCTTCTGTCCTTTGTCTATCTATACTTTGAGTGCTAAAAACTATATGCTGTCCATTCAAATGCAAGAAACATAAACGTTACTCATGCGTGTAACTATTACTTCATTGTTACCAATCACAGCACAGAATTTTGACAGTTATTTGAATTTACTAGCTTCCATGTAAATTTCCAAACAGCAGATTTCAAAAAAACTGGTTGCTGTCAGTAAATATTTGTTGATTTGTGAGCCTCTACTATATGCACAATGTTGTCCCTTAATTTATACTCGATACTCATAGTATAACATCAGATTATATTGAATAATTACTGAGGAATACAATATGATATTCATCTGTTCGCTTTCATTGTTATTGCTTCTCAACAGAGGTGCTGCTCAAGAAAAAATTGACCAAAGTGAGCGAATTTAATTCTCACCTTGAGGCTCTTTGGCAAATTAAGAAGTTGGATTTACCCAAACAGGTGAGCATGCAATATTTGTCGTTGAATTGCTATATGCAAGAGGTGATTTATTATGGTATCCTTACAACAATGTGATTCATTTGTGTGACCCACAGTGACCTACAGTAGCCCTGTGAGACCCAAAGTGTGACTCAGTGTGGCACTCATTGACCCAATGTGACCCTGCAGTGACTTACAGTGACCCAGTGTGACCCAAAGTGACATGCAGTGACCTCATGTGACCTATTGTGACCCAATGTGGCTCTCAGTGACCCAATGTAACCCTGCAGTGACTTACAGTGACCCAGTGTGACCCACAATGAACAGGGTAACCTACAGTGTGACTGAGAGACTCATAGTGTGACACACAATGACTCTTACCCAAGTTGACCCCACAGTGACCCAGTGTACCCAGAGTGTGACCCAGTAACCTACAGTGTGACCCAATATGACTTGCACAGACCCAGTGTGACTCACAGTTTCCCAAAGTGACATATAGTGACTCACACATAATTTATTTTTCATGAATGCTCTTAAATTATCAATTTCCAAAAACTGTTAAATCACAACAAAATTTGACTATTTGTAATTTTGTAGGTAACTCTGAGCTATAGCAAAGGCACCAAGAAGTACAAAAATGTCATCACACTTGATAATAGAGTATTTAGTGATGAACAAGATCCTACAAGGTGAGTGTTCTCAAGAAGGATAGAAAAGGAACACATGCTTTTGTGTGTTGCATAATTATTGATTATAAATCGTGCCTGACCATTCTTTACCATATTTCGTCATATTCCTTTTATAGAATTACAGAGTTTGTGCATTCTGAACTGGTTTCAGAAATAAGATTCATAAACAAGATAAATTAAACAATGGCATTTTTGTATGTGAAACCTGTGATTTGTGTACTACATCATTGTATGTGAAACCTGTGATTTGTGTACTACATCATTGCATGTGAAACCTGTGATTTGTGTCCTGCATCATTGCATGTGAAACCTGTGATTTGTGTACTGCATCATTGCATGTGAAACCTGTGATTTGTGTACTGTATCATTGCATGTGAAACCTGTGATTTGTGTACTACATCATTGCATGTGAAACCTGTGATTTGTGTCCTGCATCATTGCATGTGAAACCTGTGATTTGTGTACTATGCAAAATGTTGTATGATTACAAAATATCAAGAGAAACCTACATTTAAATTAAAATGAGTGAGTATGTGGAATAACTGATTTGTGTTCATCTCAGACTTAATTAATTATTAATACGTGGGCTTTGTGTTTCTGGATGTGATGATAATTACAGTAAATTTATTTGATGTAATCAAACACCAAACAAGCATCCACTGGTTCTGTGGCGCTATTGGTTAGAACTATATTCATTTTCAAGAGATCTTTATCGCATATTACCAGACATAGTTATAAAAGTTACATACCTTAATCCTTGGTGGATTAACCTATGATTTGTGTGTTACATCATCATTGTATTGGGTACCTGCCTAATCTACAGGATGGCAACATAACGTGGCATCTGTTCTTATGTAGTCATTGCAATTGTTAATGTTATAACTTCACAAAAAGATTTTACACTTGATGAATGTTTAGTAACAGATACATTTTTGTTTGCCCAGGTTGAAATCATTACACTGTATGATGTTTCCTCAAGTTGGTGAATGTGCGTTGATGGCGAGACCTCCATCTCTCCTGTCAGGACTTGATGATGGATGGCCACATCTTGGAAAAGGCAATGTTGTATAACAGTACATCCTATTATCAGGAGTTGCCAAATAGCTTAATAGCGTCCGTGCTACCCTATGGAGAGGTAATTGGGCACAAGTTTGATTACCAGGTGCATTATGTGTTTTTGAGTTAATGGCTGGTGTATCTCCAAACTATGTTTAGTATTGCTTTTATATTGTTTTATCATCAGGCCAATACTTACCCAGTCAACCAACTACAGCAATTTTTTAATAAAAGGATTGATTGCAATGAACTGTTCAGGCCAAAATTTACCTTCCAAGAACCGTTCAAACTAGATTGATCATGCCAAATTCCAAGAACTGGTCACAGTGAACAAACCAGGCCAAAATTTACCTTCCAAGAACCGTTCAAACTAGATTGATCATGCCAAATTCCAAGAACTGGTCACAGTGAACAAACCAGGCCAAAATTTACCTTCCAAGAACCGTTCAAACTAGATTGATCATGCCAAAGTTCCAAGAACTGGTCACAGTGAACAGACCAGGCCAAAATTTACCTTCCAAGAACCGTTTAAAGTAGATTGATCATGCCAAATTCCAAGAACTGGTCACAGTGAACAAACCAGGCCAAAATTTACCTTCCAAGAACTTTGCAAAATTTGTATTTATATTCCATGAACACAGGCCAAATTATTTTTTAAGAACTGTTACTGAAATTAACTGGCCAGGCCAAATTTTTTTCCAAGATCTCGAAGATCTTAATGAACAAACTGACAAGGTCAAATTTATAATCCAAGAACTTTTCACTGAACCAACCTAACTAAATTAGTCTTCCAAGAAGATAACAAAAGTTTCAAATCATGTACATTGTACAACATGACCAGGTGAATGCAATATTGCAATTGATCAATAATGCTCTAATTTAAGCCACAGCCACAAGTAATCATGAACGGCAAATCAGCTAGCTATGTAAACCTCT